GAGCACGGGCCCCTGTGACGTTGCCGGCCCTTTTAAATACCCTCAGCAAGTCTGCCTAGGTCCCGGCCCCTGCTGTGGCCAGACTTGCTCCACACTCTCCCGCTCACCTCCTCCTCCTTTGCACTCCCAAAGTGGGTGCTGCTCCTGGAGCCTCGCTCGGCCCTGTCCTCGGACCTGCAGCTGGTGTGAGAATGCACTATGCTTGCCTCACCATTGCCACGACTCCTGCCAATGACCCCTGGCCTCTGGTGCCTGGCACAGCCATCGGAACCATGGGTGAGAGGGGGGATTCCTAACGACAGGTCTCTGCTTCCCTTCTCAGACCCTTCTCCAGCACTTCGTGTCTAGAAATACCTTCAGCTTGCTGAGATAAGATGTTATTGATGTATCTTGTCTCCTAACCCCTTAGCTTAGAATTCTTGGGGCTGAAGAGGGAGAGAAAGCAGGGAAGGCACCAGCCTGCAAGCAGCCAATTTTGGTTCCATCCCCAGCACCACCAATAGAGCCCCTGGGTACCATCAGGGATGAGCCCTCAGCACAGAGCCAGGAATACACCCTGAGAATAACCAGGTATAGCCCCTTCAAGCCTTAAAAACATTCTCTCCCTGCTTCCTCTCACCATCTCTCCTCAAAGCCTTACCTCACTAGTCCTTAAGCCCTCAAGTTTTTCTATCTTATAAATAAGCATAAACATATTTTTTAAATTATTGTGTGGGTGAAAATTCTTAGAAACATAAATGGCTCCAAAATTATAAACCCTTTCATTGTTCTCTGTATGTACTGTATTACTTTTTTAGAAGGATCTTACCAATTTTAAATTTAAGGGAACTTTTTTTTCCCCTTTAGATTCAGTCCATTCAGGACTTAGAGAAGTGCTGGATTGTTGGTTGGCAGTATGAGTCAATGAAGTAATAGACTTGAGGATCAGTGTTGTTAGAACACGTTCACACAGGCAGCAACTTCTATGTATAAGCTGCAACTTTCAAAAAACAATAACCTTTATTCTAGTAGATCTGAGTTAAAATCTTGGAGCTACCACTTAGTATTTGCATGTATGTGAGCAAACTATTTACTCTACCAAAGCTCAAGTTTCTTCACCTAAGAAATGGAGCATCTCCATATCTAGAAGCCTGCCTCACAAGTGAAGGGGAGAAGGCAGCTGGAATAGAAAAGGGATCACTAAGAAAACGATGACTGGAGGAACCAGTAGGGATGGGAGATGTGTGCTGAAAGTAGATAATGGACCAAACATGATAACCTTTCAGTATCTGTATTGCAAATCATAATGCCCAAAAGTAGAGACAGAATATAAAAGTAGAGAGAGAGTATGGGGAATATTGTCTGCCATGGAGGCAGGGGGAGGGGAGAAAGTGAGGAGATACTGGGGATATTAGTGGTGGGGAATGTGCACTGGTGGAGGGATGGGTGTTTGATCATTGTGTGATTGTAACCCAAACATGAAAGCCTGTAACTATCTCATAGTGATTCAATAAAATTTAAATTTAAAAAAGATGGATCATCTAACAATTGTGTGGAAAAATAAACAAGGTGCTTGACCGAATGGCAGGTATAAAGTAGGAGTTTGATAAAAGTTCCGACACTCCAGGGTAATGATAAGGATTCCAGTGTCTTGCAGTCACCAGATACTTTCATTTGATGCATCAGATGGATCAATTTCAAATTAGTTCCTCTAAAGACAACCTTTCTTTTCTTATTTCTCTCTGTAATCAATCAATTCTTCATTCATCTCCTTATTGAATACCTGTATTTTCCAAATACTAATCTATGTGCTAGGGGTAATGATACAAACAGAATATAAAAAGTCCTTATTCTCCATAGGACTTACATATTAGTGGTAAAATACAGACAATCAACACATAGACAATGGATAGAAATGCCAAATTACACATCTAATCATGTAATGTTTTATTTTTCCACACAACTGTTATTTTAATCAATAGTCAACTCCATAACCATCAATAAAAACTTAGTAGCTTAGAAATAAGGACACTGATGTTCATTTTTATTATCCATGATGTTATTTCTGGAAAATTTTTGCAAGTCATAATGAAAAGAAATCCTGAAGTGTCCCATTTATGAACAGGACTAAGTGCTAAGCATCTGTCGGCTATTTTATCCTCTCAGCATCCTTTTAATGTCAGGTATCATTTTCCACTTCACAAAGGAGCAGATACCTCAGGAGTATTTGGATTGCAGTGAACATTTTGTGGGTTTGTTTGTCATTTATTTTTTTATTCTTAGCAACAACAAATTTGATTAAGTGACTTTTGTATCATTCTGTATTCAAGAAGCTTAAAATAGAATTTAGTTGAATAAATCTACTGAATTTGTAATTTCTTTTTTTTTCTCCTAATAATTGTTTTGTACATCTCACAGTGGATGATGGAGATGATATTCACTTCTGTAACAAACTATGATCAACTACCTGGAGTTACCAGACCCAATACACCACCTGTTTCCCATGAGGAAACGAAGGAAGGAGAAGAGAAAGGAAGGGAGGGAAGGAGGAAAGGACAAAGGGAGGAAAGAAGAGAGAGAAAGAGAGAGAAATAAACAGAGAGAGAGCATGAATCAGATAGGAATTATGTGAATCTAGCCTGAGGTTCCCAAACTCTGTGATCTGCCACTTCCTTCTCAGAAAAGAAATCCCTCAGTACCCTAGTGGAAAGAATGAATTATTTAAGTGAACACAACTAAAACGCCCTAATTGTACCCCAGAAACTACTGTCCTCTGAATCATTCCTGAACCCCCAGCCCAAGGTGTGGTATCACACCTTTTGGAAACAATGAAGTCTAAGTATGAAAGTAAATTGTTCACATGACTCAAGTATTAGTAATAAATTATTTGAAAGAGATTCCAATAATGACTTTTAAATATAATTGTCACCACTATAAAACATTGTCCTGAATGGCAAGAGTTGTGTTTGGAATATAGAATTAATTGAACGAAAGTTAACAATGTTTAATATTTTCTGTGACAAGGATGGTTTTGTACTTTTCATACATTTTCTAATTTCATCTCAGACCATCCAGTCCTATTTTCTTTCCAACTAATCCAGTGATAATTTTTTTCAACTTTAGTCTGCATCAGTATTACCTAGAAACTTGTTAAATACAGGTAATAAAAAGTTAAACTTTAACTTTTTAAAAATTAAAATGCTGGATCTTTTAAACAATAACAGAAAATGATGGACCCCGTTCCCCCAAGTTTCTGATTCAATAAATCTGTGTGGGGGCTGAAAATTTGCATTTCCAACAGGCTTCAACAAGCGACTGTGTACTCATCAACTAGTATTTGAAAATCATGAACCAAGTCATCTATTCGTCCATTAAAAACAATTCTTAAGGCCGGGCAATAGTTTAGTGATAAAAGCACTTTTCTTTCAATCATAGGATTTTTTAAGTTCAATCCCAGAACTTCCCACACGTGCTAAACACAATCCCCAACATCACAAAAAACAAGCATGTGTGACCTCAAGGTATTAAGACAATTGACCAACAAAAGGGAAAAGATAAGGGGAACTTTAAAAATCAGTAACAGGCAGAAGAGATTGCTCAATGTGTTTGGCTACCTGGTCTGCATTGGATGCCAGGCATTTCCTGTTCCTCTGGCATATGCATAACCCCTGCAGAGAGCCAGGAGTAAGTCCATGAGCACTGGCAGGTGTGATCACCAAACCAAAATAAAATTAAAATATATATGAAAAGCTAGTCGGTACCTGGAACCAAAGTAAAAAAGAGAAAGTGAGCATTGTTTCATAAAAGCTAAAAAAAAGTCACTGAATACTCTGACAAAGTCTGTTATGCTGTAAGAACAAATTAAATCACATTCTAACTATGTTATATCTTTGTTTTCCTCTTTGTGTCAATCCCAGGAAGTTGCATCTTTTCCTATATTTTACAAACAGAAAACAAATATCTCAGCGGAATGATACTAAGTAACTTACTCGAAGGCATTGGCAGGTGAAGGAGCAAGGATGCAAACCTAGTCCTACTGGATGCCAGATGGTAGCAGAACATGCTGTCCTACTCCATGTGCTATCGCTGAAACACAGGATACTGGATTCTTACACAGGATACAGGATTCTTACACAGGATACAGGATTCTTACACAGAATTACTGCCAGTCTGCCGCGTATTAAGGAAGAAGTTCTGCAGATGGGTTAAATGCTCTGTAAAGGAACACAGATAGGTAGTATCTCAAGCAATATTTAAACTCAGTTTGTCTGATGCCAACGTGTTTTTTCCATCATAATCACTATTTCTCCAAGTTTTCACTAGATCACGAGCCAACCAAATCAAAGTTGGGGCCAGAGGGGAGACAGCTCCAGATACCCAGAGGGTACCTGAGTGGTCCTGCCTCATGTCTTGGCTAATAAGATATATCTCTTGTGTTAACTTATTCTCAAACTTTCTAACACCTAGCTCTCTTTCTACACTAGGTCAGCACAGTATAATAGAATGTTTCCTTGATGATTCAGGATCTAAAGAGTCCCAAAACCATCATTATGAACACATTTGTTACAGTGAAATGTTAAACTCGATGCAGAAGGTAAAGACGGTTGAACTGAGTGTGTAGGAGCCCAGGATTACTGGGAGAACAAATTACATCACATTGTAATCATTTGCTTTTTCTTCAATCAGAACGGAAAAAGGCCCCCAGCGGTTGACCAGATGCTCTGATGAAATTAGGTTCGAATCGCTCCAGTTGGCCCAATTTGTATGAACTTCATTAAAAGGAACTTTCTCTCTCTTTTTTTGAGCCGCTAAGCTGCAGAGAAGGAGGCCTTCCTGCCTCTGCGCATCACGGCCTTACCCCGTCATCAGGGAGAGAAGTGCACTGTATAATTACCTTTCGAGACATGAATCATCCTTGCTCAGAGGGCCCAGACCTGCTTGACTCTATAAAAGCAGTTCAAGGTCGAAGTGCAAACGCGCTGTCAACTGTCCCTGGGCTGCTCTAATTACCCAGCCGCACTGAGGAGATGAAGGTGCTCCCCGCATCTGGCTTTGCTGTCCTCCTTTTTGCGACTCTCAAGTTTTCCACTGCAACCTCTTCCTTACTCGCCGCCGCCCCAAGGACCTCACGGAACAACTATCACCTCGCACAGGTTTGTGAATCTTTCCACTCCCCTTTTCTTCCTCTTGCTCCAAGGAGAATGCTAATGTGGATAAAGAGAATATAAGAAAACTTCTGCTCTATTTTTCACACCAGCTGATATGTGCCTTGAAGGAGTTAAACTTGACAACACAGCCAAAGACTAAGGTCTGGTGCACATCAGCAGCACAAGCTGTGTGACTAAATAAATAAATAAATGAATAACCATCCATCTAGGCCTCTTGCTCCAGTTTGCGGCTACTTGCTAAAATGAAAGCAATACAAAACACAAAAGCCATATCTGAAGAATGGTGTGGGAGGGGAAATAAGGGCAGAAAAATTAAAAACCAAGGTTTAAGACTCACCTGGTAGATTTCCTGTATTCACAATTTAGAAAATGGCTCTTGTATGCAAGGCAAATGTGGTTGAAACCTAAAGTAAGCCAAGTTTAGGGGAGTGTCTACCCACTTCTTATTTGAGTATTTCCTCCACAGTGTATGTCCCAACTACCTTATTTACTTAGACTCTTCGTATTTTGAACTACTGGACCTGATACAAATCATTCATGCTAAAGTTTGTGATTCAGGGGCTGGAGCGATAGTACAGTGGGTAGGACATTTGCCTTGCATGTAGCCAACTCTGGTTCAATCTCCAGAATTCCATATGATCCGCTGAGCACAGCCAGGAGTGATCCCTGAGCTCAGAATTAGGAGTAAGCCCTGAACGTCACCAGGTCTGGCCAAGCCCCCACCACACATACTCCCAATAAATGAACAAAAAAAAAATGTGATTCAATGTATATGTACTTCCAAGTGCATCTTGCATTTAAGAGGAAAGTGACCATCTTTATGTGAGTCTTTCTATCATGGAATTTCCCACTACAGCAAGATGTGTATAGATGGAATGTTTTTCACCAAAGCCACTCTTTCACAGTCTGTCAACATGACAGCACATCTGTGATTTCCAGTCCTGCTTTAGAGTTTTCTCCGTTGCAGCTGCATTGGGAGCTGGTTTTCACAAATGTATTCTCACCAGTTGCTATACAACTCATTCGTTCAGGCTGGTCCCTCCAACACAAACCTTGCACCCACAACCCATGCACATCAGTCATTAAATACTCTGAATGTCAACAGCAGATCAACAGCATGGTAGAGACCAAGTCCAGAACTGTTGAGCTCAACTTCCTTTGACACAGGCCTAGTCTTAGGTGAACAAATTTAAAAATAATATAGAACACTGGGGTCTGTTTTAACCTGTCTTTCACAGGAGTCATTTTGCGTTAGGTCCTTTCTCTCCAAATACCATGTTCCCTCACATAATTCATGCCACTCTGATTCTTCATGAATTCAAAAAGGTGGATTATATTGAGACAAAAATTAATCCAAGGGGACCTATGATTGTGATCCTAGTGCAGATTTTGATAGACTGTGACATTTAGGCCAAAACCAGTCATGCCCATTTACTCACTCAGGATCTATTACTGCCTCTGAACCACCATGGCAGAGTATGGCCTGATATTATTAACAATCGTTCTTTTTTTCCCCCTTTTTTTTGGGGGGGGGTAATACCCAGTGATGCTCAGGGGTTACTCCTGGCTCTGCACTCAGAAATTACTCCTAGCAGTGTTTGGGGGACCATATGGGATGCTGGATTTCAAACCCAGGGCGGACGCATGCAAGGCAAACGCACTACCCACTGTACTATCACTCCCGCCCCATCCTTCTTTTTTCTGTATTTTTGGACCAGCATTGTTCAGGAACTTTCCCACAACTGTGCTTGGGGGTCCCTCATCAGTGCTCACGGGACTATGGTAGGCCAATGATCAAAGCCGACCTCCTACAGGTAAAGCATACAAAGCCTTTTGAGCTATCTCTCCAATTCCTCATCCCCTTCTCCCTGTTCCCCCTCTACTTTTAGAACTTTTATTTATTTTATAAGGGCCACTCCCAGCAATGCTCCACCTGGTTACACCCAGCCTCTCTGGGAAACCACACAAACCTCCAAACTGGATCCCAGTTACTAGAAAGAATTAATGTCATACCTTAGAGTTTATAAGAATAGACATTTTTTATACATTGTCATCTTACAATACAAAAAGAAATGGAAACACAGATATCACTATTTTAAGAACACTCGTTCAACAAGTATTTACTGAATGTTTACTACATGCTGTGTTCCAGGATCTGCTTTAAGTACTGAAGGGACTGAGGGTGTGGCTCAGCTGAGCACATACATGCCTTGCATATATGGGTTTGAACCTAGCACCCAAAATAAATGCATAAGTACTGGAGAAACATCAGTGAATAAAACAGGTAAAGTACCCATCCTTATAGCTTTTCTTTCAGGGGCATGACTGGACACAGAGTGGGTGCTGGGAGGCAGGCCAACTCACCATGGCCCAGGGTTACTTCAAAAGTGATTAAGAGATAGCAAAACATTAACTAGAATGACAGAGAGTGATGGGTTCAACTGAGCAGTCCTTGAAGGCTTCTCAGAAGAGGTGACATTGGCGATGAGCCATGTTCAAGCACCAGACGAGCAATGATCTGGGAATGGCAGGTCAGGAATAGGAATGAGTGAGTGAAGCAGCCCAGGGTAAAGCATGGATGAAAGCATGGGGTTGGAGGAGCTAGTGGTGAGAGCCACAGGAAGAAGGTGTAAGCCCCATGAACCAGTCAGGTCACAACTCTCGGGGAATTGGAACCCAGATTGGGTTTGTACCTGACATGCTGCTTTCTTCTTTCTCATTTTTTTCCTAGAGAGGGACTCTGGGTGCCTGAGCCTAAAACCTCCCAGCAGACAATGTTTCCAAATATCATGTGCCTCTTCAAGAGCCCAGGAACGCAATAATATACACAAGAAAAAAAATGAATGTTTTTTAGTAGATTTGTTTCATCCTTTACATTCTGATTTATCAATTATCATGAAGACTTTTTAAATGACGGAATGACAAAATATTTATTTAGCCTCAATAAAAATTTTAGTTCTACATTTTTCATAAATGATAGCAATACACTTAAGTGAATTGTTAAATTATCTATAAAATAATATAAATTTTCATTACCAGATAATTATTAACTGACAAAAAATACTTTCAAATACAAAAACCATTGAATCAGGTAATTTTTTTAAAAAAATTTTGGGCCACATCCACTGATGGTCAGGGGTTACTCCTGGCTCTACACTCAGGAATTACTCCTGGTTATGCTCAGGGGACTATATGTAATGTCAAAAATGAATTAAACCTGGGTCAGCTGCATGGAGGCCAGACCCAGGATGAGCTGTTTTGTTTCTTTCATAACAACAGTCTTCAGCTGTGCTGGGGTGGAGGGGCCAGGCCACTGTCATTGGCTCAGGGGTCCACCATGCCCAACCCTTGGTACAGACCACCAGAACTACACCTGGTTGGCACTTAGGGGACCATATGTTGGCAGGGACCAAAGCAGGCCTTCACACACTTAGACACTGCTCTACTACACAAGCTCATTCACCACCCCACATGTGCTATTTTTACTTTCATTTTAATTTCTGCACATAAAGATATTTTTTCATTGTTATTATACTTGGGTCCTACTTATTTCCCTATTATGTCTTATGAACATTTTCTCGTTTCATTATTGCTGTTCTGGGGCCACACCTGGTCATGCTCAGGGGTTCCACCTGGCCCTGAGCACTCAGAAATCAGTCCTGACAGTGCTCGAGGGACTGTATAGGATGCCAAGGATCAAACCCAGGTCGGCCGTGTGCAAGACAAATGCCCTACCCACTCTACTATCTCTCTAGTCCAAATATTTTCTTTTTAGGTCAAGACATACCAGCAATAGAGCATATAGGAAGCTCTGAGTCCTGGAAGTGGGAAGAGAACTTGTTTTTGGAGAGGCCCCCTAAGCAGTATCATATTGGGAGCATGGGGACCACTAAAGAAATATTTGACTAATGTGCCCCTGAGCCTTCTCTGCCCAGAAGGGCGAAGTGGTTCTGCTATGCTCTGTGGACCACCAGAGCCCCAACTGGCAACTCTCCGGGGGGCCTCTAGGTCTATACTTATGTATACTATACTATACTCCAGAGACTGGGGACATGGAAACAAATTATTTCATTTTAAAATAAAATAGAATTGGGTAAATTGTAAACTACTATCACTTAACCTTGGGACCCAAACTCTCCCTGCACACTTTCTGCCATTATCTGCCCACCCCTGCCCTCGGTTCTTTGGTGCCCATCATTATGCAATAGGGGGAAATTTATCCTATCAAATACATTTTGAAGTTATAAATATTCCAAGGGCTGGAGTGATAGCACAGCGGTAGGGCATTTGCCTTGTGCACAGCCAGCCTGGCCGAGGCAGGTTTGATTCCTCTGCCCCTCTCGGAGATCCTGGCAAGCTACCAAGAGTATTCAATATGCCAAACACAGTAACAAGAAGTCTCACAATGGAGATGTTACTGGGCCTGCTCGAGCAAATATTCCAAAGTACAAGTCACGGATTTCAAAGTTATCATTTATTTTTAAAGATCGTTCTGGGCCTGTGGGAGATGGTGCAAAGGACTAGGGCTATTCTGTGTGCTCAGGTGCGGGTCCTGAGCAGGGCTGAGTGCAGCAAAGTGTAAATAAAGAAGCAAAGGTTCCGTGGGCACAGCAACCACATCAAACACAGGTGAGCAGTGTGTGTACGAGAATCTCTGCACGGCCACCTAGTCTAAAGGGCTGTGTTTCACGGTAGACTTTTCTGGAAGTGGGATTAATGAGTAAGAAGATCGCTACAGTTCTGGCGTCTGGGTTTGGGTTTTTGCTTTGATGTTTGGGTTCTGGGGGTCTCTCCTCATGTGAAACGGAGTGTCTTGACCCAAGATGGGCCCCTCGCCCTCCACTAGCGTGACCCGCTGCCATGCCCAGATCAGGGCCCAGGTCTTGCAGGTGGGCTAAGGTGGAGCACGGGCCCAAGATCTGCAGCAAGAGGCAGCTGAACCCCAAATAAGGAGGGCCGCGCCTTCACGAGTGGCACGGAGGTTCCTCACACGGGTCCTCGTGGGCCAGGTCTGTGGCTGTGACAGACAGGACAGAAACGTCGGGGAAACGTCCAGAACCGCCCTCCGGTGGGGATTTCGAGTCCCACTTGTCAGTGCGCCCCAGGACGGACCACCGGGCCCTTCAGCCTTCACCCACCAGGGTTTAAGCTGGGGGGCTCGGGGTGAGCTCGGAGGCGCCCTGGCCAGGCGTGGGCCCAACAAAGCTGGGGGAAAGTTCCGTCGCCCCAACAGAACCCAGCCGGGCCCGCTCCGGCGACACCTGCCTGGAATCGATCAAGTTTCAGGATCCGAAACCTGGGGTTTGCCTCCGGGAACCGTCCAGCGAGCGGCAAGCACCACGAGTGGGGAGCGAGTGTAAACGGACAGTGGATCCCGAGAGCTCCCACCCGGCCGACCACCACCCCCTTACGCCGGAGGACACGGAACCAACGCCCCCGTCTTAGGCGAAGCCAGCATCGTACCTTGAGCGAGCATCCACTGATGGACCTAGATGGCTCCCTGCAACTAGGATGCACCGCGCACCTGCCGCGAGCCACGCCCGCCTGCCCCACAGACCACGCCCACCCCAGCCACGCCCTCCCGTCGCGAGCCACGCCCACCTGCCCCACAGACCACGCCCACCCAGCCACGCCCCCCGTCGCGAGCCACGCCCACCTGCCGCAAGCCACGCCCATCTGCTGCAAACCGCTTCGACTGCCGCAAGCCACGCTCACCCGCCGCAAGCCACGCCCGCCCGCCTCGAGTCACGCCCACCCGCCGCGAGTCCAGCCTGCTTGCCGCAAGTACACGCCCACCTGCCGCAAGCCTGGGTCACCTCCGCAAACCACGCCCACCTGAGGAAAACCACGCCCCCGGCCGCAAACCACGCCCACACGCCCTTCGGGTAGCGGGGCCGCGTGGGTCTCCGAAGGGAGAGCGTCTGCAAGTGGTTTCCCTGCGCCCTGTGGTCTTGCTGGATGGAAACAGAAATGTGGGGCGGGGGGCTACTTGACGCACACCCTCTGCGGCAGGTCTCGTTCTCGTGTCCGTGGCTAACGTTTATACTTCATCGAAAGGGACCGCTTGAACCCCATCTGTCTGGCCAGCCCAGCTTCCGAAGCTGCAAGTTTAAGGATGCACCTGTACAGCGGAGAGGGCTGGCCCGGGCTCGATTCCCTGCACCACATATGGTCCCCGGACCCTGCCAGGAGTGATCCCTGAGCACAGCCCCCCCAAAAAATGCTACTGTAAACAAACAGTATACATAGTGTATGTGGAGCACAGAGCTAATATGACAAAACTAATACAATTAAATGCCTTGGATAAAATAGAAATTTTATACTGTGTATACACACACATTATTAGCAGCTTTATTTTCCTGAAATAAGGTGGGTAGGTGAAATTCCTAGGCTAGCAACAGCTCCAAATCTGCATTTATATGACTACCTTTCTTCACCCAGAGTCACAGCAAAGTGTTCTCAAGAATCTGTTGGAGGCTTTAATTATTTATGTTCTGTGGGACACCTGTCACTGTCACTCACTGTACCTGTCTTCCTGTTGTTCATCGATTTGCTCAAGCGGGCCCAGTAGCTTCTCCATTGTGATACTTGTTACTGTGTTTGGCATATCAAATATGTCACGGGTAGCTTGCCAGGCTTTGCCATGCGGGCGAGATACTCTCAGTAGCTTGCCAGGCTCTCCAAGAGGGGCTGAGGAATTGAACTAGGGTGGACCATGTCGGCCGCGTGCAAGGCAAACGCCTTACCCGCTGTGCTATCGCTCCAGTCATAGTCTGTAAAAGTTCATTTCATTTGTTTCAAGGTCAAAGAATCTGTTCTAGAAGACCTGCCCCTCAAAAACACTCAACCCTGCAAATGAATACATCTCATTAGATGCTTTACCAGTAAATCGAATTTCTCTACTTCTTCTGTTTTGTAAAAGATGACAAGATGAAATTTAAGGCCTCAGAGACTTAAAAAAAAAAACATACTGATGTTCATTTTATAGTGAAAATGTGATTCTAATAACTGCTTCTCAAAGAAATCGGGCATTCTTTGATTTGCAAATGATTGTTTTCTCATTATTGTATTTTTTGTCTCTTGTTCCAGTGACATGAATGATCCATGGGGGGAAAGGCTCACATCATTTTCCCCCCAGTCTTTAGTCCTCTTAGAATGACAACATACTGTAAAAGTAAAATACTAGTGATTAAAATTTTTATCTTTTAAAAAATCTAACATCCCTACCACCCAAAGAGAAACAGTATTATAATTTGACACATATCTGGCTAAGTTTTATCTCTGGAAATACATCTATATTTTTTTCAAAAATGGGAATATACACATCAATTTTAGCATATCAAAGGTATCTTCCCTGTTTTCCCTGAATATGGTTTTCCCTAGAGACTGCCATTGACATGTCAGCCTGCCTCTCCATTTTAGGCATATCTTGACAAGTATTACACAAAGGAAGGTGGACATCAGGTTGGTGAGCTGGTAGCAAGACGAGGCAACTCCATGGTCAAGAAGATTAAGGAACTACAAACGTTCTTCAACCTCCAAGTCACTGGAAAATTAGACAAGTCCACAATGGATGTGATCAAGAGGCCTCGCTGTGGAGTTCCTGATGTGGCGAATTATCGCCTCTTCCCAGGTGAACCCAAATGGAAAAAAAATACTTTGACATACAGGTAATGAGATAGTCTTTCCAGATTCAGAGAGAAAATTCTCTCTCTCCTTTTTCTCTTAAAAGCATCTCCCTTCTGATCGCAATAAAAAGCACAACCCAGGACAACAATAAGAAAAGAATATGAACTTAAGGCCAACTTCTATGCAATGACAATTGAAAAATTCACTAGAAAATCTGTTTAATATTATTAAAATCACTAGCTATCTTTGACATTACAATTTAACCAGTTAATTACAACACATATATCTTTAAATAAAAATAATGTAGGATTGATAATCTATAGTACAAACTTTTTTTTTCAATTTTTTAAAATGTTGTTTGGTTTTTGAGTCACACCCAGCAGTGCTCAGGACTTACTCCTGGCACTGCACTCAGGAATTACTCCTGGAGATGTTCAGGAGACCATATGGCATTCTGGGGATTGAACCTGAGTGGGTCACGTTCAAGGCAAGTGCTCTACCCTCTGTACTATATATAGCTCCAGGCTCCAGCAAGTTGGTTTATTTTAATATCTATCAGAAATATTAAAAAAGATTCATCTTTTCATTAATTCAAGAAATCAGTCATTGATGATTTGGTAAGTGCCTAGTAAAAGGAATTTAATTCTGGAGATAACAGTGGATATATTACCATCCCTGACCATAGTCCTTGGAGAGAGACACACAAGCTAACAGCCATTTACAGTTTTGTGTGAGAAGTGTGAAACTAGGGATAGAAGCAGAAACTTTTGGGAACTTGAGGAGGAACTTCCTGCTTGTTTGGAGATCAGGAAGTGATATCTGAGCCTGATTTAAAGCCAAAGTAAGGGCTGTATCCCCAGTTTCCCCAAACCCCTACTCTCTCCCCTGCCTACACTTTAGCTACTCTTTCTGGTCTCTGCCTGCCCCAAATGGAAAAAAGGTTCTGAACAAAGAGGGAGGTCCAATAAGAATCTCCACCCAACTCACAGAAGTTTTCTGGGGACTCACCTCAGAATTGTCCCCAGGAGCCCAAGGCTAGTCCAGGCCCCTGCAAAATGTGTGCAGTCAGAGAAGCAGGTCAAGGAGGAGAAAGGCCCCAAATTCGGGTGAAGAGGTGACCTTAAGACAGCTAGAACTTGCAGCTAAGGACTCTGAAATTGTGTCAGGGAGCTATCCAGGCCAAGATTAGCCTTCACTGTTTGGATGCACACATCTGCTGGGCATTAGTCTGGGAAAGGCTGCACAATGAATAGCGCAAGCAGGGTTTACTGGCATTGTTCCTACCAGAGCACAGGAGTCATCTGGGAATTATCTGAAATTCTGAGCCATTTGTTAAGTACCTTAAAAATTTTGTAAATTGGTCACTAGATAGTCATTACTAAAAATTAAATGACCGGGCCAGAGAGATAACACGACAGTAAGGCCCTTTGCATTGCACATGTCTCACCCTGTGTCGATCCCCAGCACATGGTATCTTGAAATTGGCCAAAGTTAGAGTATTTACAATGTGGAAGTCGAATATGCTACAAATGAAAGGTTTTTAGAGATGGACCAATTGTTAAACTAGACCAGCACACTTGTGTGAGTCCTAGTGCTCAAAAGAGGGCTAACCGCCAGGGACAGCCAGCGCCTGAGTTAACGGCTATGACCATAAGTCCATAAGGAGGCGCTCAAACACCATTATTTGTCCCCGTAAGCAAAAGAATTGCACAAAAAGCATTTGGAAAAGAAACACCCACCAGGAACAGGGCACAAACAATCCTGAGATAATTAAGAGTTGTATAGGAAAGTTTTGTATAAACCCATAGACGTTTTTCTAATTTTTTTGGACTATATCATAGAATTTTAATCTGCAACCATGCATTACAAAGACAAGATGGAATTGATCAAGTTCATTTGGAACTTGGCGAACTATAATACTCTTGTGATAAATATTTGAGGGAAGTCCCCAATTCTCCCTCAGAATTCTTGTACTTCTGATTCACTCTTGCTCTTGAACAATTCTCCTCTCCCCCCTCATGTAATAAAAACAACAGCCCTAAGATTACCTCACTGCACACTCTCTCTCTAGCAGCTGAATCTCAGAACAACTTCTAACATCATCCAAATAATTATATATACATACATGTATATAGCTTGCTGTTTCTATACATAAGCTTTGAAGTTGGATAGACCTGGGTCAGAGAGCCTGGCAAGCTACCGAGAGTATTCGATATGCCAGTAACACCAAAGTCTCCAATGGAGACGTTACTGGGCCCGCTCGAGCAAATCCAGAACAATCATAAAATATAGATGTTCATTTGTGCCTAAGTGTTGCTGTGATGAGTCCTTGGCATGCCACATTCAAAGCACTTCAGGAAATGGCTAGAGAAATAGTTCAATAGGCTAAGGTGCATGCTTGGTACCAGAGGCTGGGGTTCAATCCCAGTGCATCATGGTCCCCATAGTACAAGGGTGACATGCCCAAGCACCAAGCAAGGAATGGGTATCCCTGGTCATCACCAGGTGCGACCCAAAAACCAAGCAGACAAATGAAAATAATAAAAGTCCTTCAGACAGTATCTTGCACTCAGTATGTACACAAAGCATGTAAATATTACTATTGTTTTATCAACCCTGAGATAGGAGATGAGAACTCTTCTCAATGTTCTTCTCCAGTACCATCTTCTGCCCATGGTATCACCACCTACACAGTGAACTTAGACCAGTTGTGTGAGGGGACTTCAAGGTATTTTTTCTAGAGTCATGGTTCATCTCAGATACACATGCTGTGGACATATTATGAAAGCACTAAAGGGGCCCTTAAGGATTCTTCTTGGGCCAGAGAGATAGCAAAGGAACTGAAGTATTTGTTCTGCATGCGGCTGACCTTGGAATAATCCTAGCCTTGCGTGGGCCTCCCAAGCACCCTCTGAGCACAGAGCCAAAAGTGGCCTCTAAACACTGGAAAGTGTGGCCCCAAAACCCAAAAAATAGTGAGGGTTTGTTCCCCCTTCAGCACTGCAACTCTGACATGCCTCCATCCCTGAATAGAAGACCTGTCCCTCCCCAGTGCCAAGGGCTAACGTTGATCCTCCTTTCTGGTGGACATGGCTGTTTCCTTCAGGGCTTCTAGGATCACTGCCCTTTGTTTATGGTTAATATGGTCAATATGGCATCACTTGTGTCAAGTTAATTTATTTGTTTAAATGCATATTTCAGGTTCATACCTGTATATTTAGTGGTGAGCTGGTTCCAGAGCGGAGACTATCCGAATAAGGTCTAAGGACAGCCCCTATCATGAGTTTGTTTATTTGTCAGGTATGGACTAAGGACATACTGTGTGCAAGATCTGGGAACTGGAGGCAGTAGGCTGGTCCCTGCTCTGAGAGGCCTCCCGCAGAGCTAGCTCCTCGCCGGCATGGACTCTCATGCTAGTGCTCAGGCAACAGCATCCCTGCTCCCTTCCTCTACGTGCCCCTGAGGTCCCAAACAGCCGAGCCTGGACATACCAATTGTCTCTAGCCACTATTTGTCAAAAAAAAATTAAACTCTTTTGCCTTCAGATATCTTTGTCACATCAAGATTCGATGTAGGACTCAAGCCTTTCTCGATCAAAGTGAGCACGCTTAAAAGTCAGAGCTTCCTAGTCAAAAGGAGAGGAACAGGTACAGAACGATCTCTCACCTAGAAGGATATAAAGAAACAGGTAGAGGTGCAACAAACACCCAAAGACAGTTGGAAGCTTACAACCGTAGGAGAGCGGGAAACAAGACAAGTTGGTCAGTGGACACTGGGACAGTGGATGCGGGAAGCCAGCACTCTGCTGGGGTGCCTATGCATGAAATGCTACCATTAACAGTACTGTAAACCACAGCGCCTAACATTTAAAAAATAAAAAGTGAAATTAGAACTTGCACTTTGAGAAATACATTATTTTATCACACAACACCTGGAATAGCCCCAGGGTCCCCAGCACTGCCTAGTGTGGATCTTACTTTAAAAAATAAATAAAAGAATAAATACATTTTAAAAACAGCATTCTTCCACAGCTCCGGGGAAAGCCTGACAGCCTTTAAATACAAATTTGTAAAACCTCAAAACTTCGTGTATTTACATTTCACAGTGGAAAGTTTTCAGTCTATTTTTTAGAGGGAAAGATATTCCTCAACTAAAACTACTTTAGGAAAACACAACTTCCTGTTACTTGTATACTTTAAAACTAGTGACAATGGAGGCAGAGTGATAGATCAGTGGGTAAGGCTTTGACTTGTATGTGACCAACCCAGGTTCCATCCCTGGGACCACATGTGGTCTTGGAGTCTGCTGGGAGTGATCCCTGAGTATCACCAGGAGTGCTGAGCCAGGAGTAACCCCTGAGCATAGCCAGGAGTGGTCCAAAATCAAACCAAAAATGTAGTGATAATAATAAGACTCAACTCTTTTACTTCTTCCCTACAGATTTTTTGTTTAATATGTTTAGGTCATTTTTCAAATATAACAACAAAATAAAAAATTCTGGTGGGGGTGAAGGACAGAACTAAGTATAGTGGATAAGGCACTTGCCTTGCATGCAGCCAGCCTGGGTTAGATCCCCTACACCCCATTTGGTCCGTTGATCACTCAGAGGAGTGATACCAACTCCATAGCCAGGATTACACCCTGAGCATTTCCAGGGGTGACTCCATACCCCTTCCCCACCAGCCTACGAGTAAAGAAGAATTATTGTCTTGGAGGGGGAAAATTCTATTATAACTGTAATATAACCTAAATCTATTCTAAATTGTAGATTTATATCCAATATTCAGATTCTTTTACTGCCGCAATACAATAGTTCTTACTTTCCTGCAGAGAATTTGCCAAAAGGCAATGTGTTGCTTTTGTTTTCCCAGAATAGCCAAGTACACATCCTCCATGACACCTGCTGAAGTGGACAAGGCTGTGGAGATGGCCCTACAGGCGTGGAGCAGCGCCGTGCCCCTGAGCTTCGTCAGGGTCAACTCGGGAGAAGCAGATATCATGATATCATTCGAAACTGGAGGTACTGTGGTATTTATTGGATTTTGTCCATGAATCCAGAAGAGAAAATGTTTAGTATTTTTCTTCAACAATGAATTTTTTTCTTTGGCTTTGGGGGCGGGGGGGGGGGTGCATGGCAGGTAGTTCTACACTCAGAAATTACTCCTAGAAGTGCTTGGGGGTGGGGGGGGTTAGATATCGAACCTCGAACCTGGGATGGCTACATGCAAGGCAAACGCCCTGTCCACTGTCCTATCACTCCGGTCACCAACGAGAATTTGATCCACATTATTAGCACAACTCTCCTTTACCTGGTGGTATGATATTCAGAGACCAAGATCATAACCAGGTCATAATCTTTAGCTGGCTTTAAAGAGTCCCCCAGATTCACATATCCTTCTTCTCAGCTGTCTAATGGACCCAGCGGATCATATCCAGCTCCTGCTGGGTTCCTGCTGCCCTGGCAAGAGATTGCCAAGAAGTGCCACCCGGTGGGCTCTGCACTAAGCCTTTGGAGATGGTCCCCAGAACGTCCTTAGCGTTCAGTGTGCCAGTGAGAAGCTGAGTAACAGAGCTACCGTCATAGCCCTGATTTGCTCTTACCCCTTCTCTACTCTATTTGTAATGCACTGCCTGTAAAATATAGCCAATAGAGCAGAAGCATGCAGATCTTGGGCCAGAGAAATAGTGAAAGAATTAAGGCACTCCTGTTGCAGGCAGCTGGCCCTGGGTTGATCCCTAGTCCCACATGGTCCGCTGAGCACCACTTGCAGGGATCCCTGGGCACAGCACCTGGATGTGACCTACACATCCTGCCTCCCCAAAATGTCAAATTTTGGTTTTGGTGTTTGAGCCACATCTAGTGGTAGTCAGGGCTCATTTCTGGCTCTGTTCTCAGGGATCTCTCCTTGTGGTTCAGAGGACCATACACAGGGTGGGAGAATGAACTAGGGTCAGTTACATGCCAGGCAAGTGCTTTAAGCCCTATACAATCTGTCTGGCCCTAAAATAATGTAAATTTTTGAATGATAGGCTTACAGATATCTTTATGACTCGTGACTCTTATACATACACACACTCATATGTGTATATGAGTTACACACACTCATATGTGTATATGAGTGTATACATACACACACACAGAAATTAGAGAATAAGATTTTTTTTGCACGTCCCTTAAATTACAATAACAAACCTCACTTCGTGTTCCTGGAGCAGGCAAAGGCCATTGGGCTACACTAGCACACGACAGAGAAGAATGGAGGCATTACTGGCACCTGCTCAAGCAAAACAATGAACAACGGGACGACAGTGCTACAGTGACAGTGCTGCAGTTCTTAAATTGTAATGAATTATGCTGTAGCAACAGAAAGCACATACATGTTCATTATTTTATGAATCTTATAGCTGACTCATAAGCCACACTCCACCAACACATTACATCCCAATCAGTGGATGAGACTGTTATCAAATGAGCACCAGTTCCTTCTCTTTTTGTAGCCTAAGACATAGTCAACAATATGTGTCAATTAATAGACATCATATTAAGAATAATCGCAAAGGGGATTTGGAGAGATAGTTCAGCAAGTAGGTCGCTTGCCTTGCACATAGCCAACCCAGGTTTGAGCCCCACATCCCCTTTGGTCCCTGAACATCACTCAGAGTAACTCCTAGCCATGCACAGTATAGCCCCAAAACAAAACAAAATAATAGTACCAAAATAACTTTTATTTTTAATACTTAATATCTGTTGTGTTGGAGCGATAGCACAGCAGGTAGGGCATTTGCCTTGCAAGTGGCCAACATGGCCGACCCGAGTTTGATTCCTCTGCCCCTCTCAGAGAGCCCGGCAAGCTACCAAGAGTATCTTGCCCACACGGCAAAGCCTGGCAAACTACCCGTGACATATTCAATATGCCAAACACAGTAACAATTGTCACAATGGAGATGTTACTGGGCCCGCTCGAGCAAATCGATGAACAACAGGAGGACAGTGACAGTGAATATCCCTTAAATACTGATAACCATTTTAATTTTAATTCAAGATTATTCATATTTGTATGATTCTGTAATTTCAAAGAAATTTTAAGAAATAAAACTATCTGAGTAGTTATGTACTGTCAGGTACACTCAAACTTTTCTAGAAGAACTTAATCCTTGGCATTTTCCAACTCTTTTAGATCACGGGGATTCCTACCCATTTGATGGGCCTCGAGGGACTCTGGCCCATGCCTTTGCACCTGGAGAAGGCCTGGGAGGAGATACACATTTCGACAATGCTGAGAAGTGGACGATGGGAACGAATGGTATATATGCACAATTCACCATAACCCGGAAACTCTTGTACCTTCTTCTGGGCCTCCCTCATGGAAGCTTCAGGTCCAACATCCCAAGCCACCCTTTAATTAGGGAGGCTGGCTAGGACAAACAAGTAAGCTCAAACTCCAAAAGGGAACACGTTAGGGAAAGAGCTACCCTCAGTTTTTCTGTCACTTGACTATTTCTTGTTTCTACTGTGTGGCCTCAAGGAGCCACAATCTCCTCCTCAATACACAGCTCTTTTTTCTTTCTTCAATGACATAGTATTCGTTGTTTTATCCTTGAAAATAGGCTCCATGCAGAAATAACCTAAAGGAACCAATCCTCTCTAAGGAAGTAGACTGGGGATAGAAATTAAAATTCCGACATATGTCACAGGATATTTGAAAATCTTCCTTGTGGAAGATTTAGACTTGAGGAGCAGGCTGTGTGGACTTACATACCTGTATCCCTACCATTGCAAGGTCCAAGCCCTCCCTTCATTATCAGTCAAGAAAGAACGATTAGCAAGCCCCTGCCGATCAAAGGGATAAGAAGTAAACCAAAGTCTGCAGGGTCAGGGCAGAATAACCTACCACACTTGTCCAGTCATCGAAAGAAAGTGCTGTGATTTGAATGTAGATTCTCCAGTGAAGACAGACGATGCTAAAAACGGAACTCCATACTGATGCTGTCTTTTTCTTTCTTATGTTGTTTAGGCTTCAACTTATTCACAGTTGCTGCTCATGAATTTGGCCATGCGCTGGGACTGGCCCATTCCTCGGACCCATCAGCCCTGATGTACCCAACTTATAAGTATCAGCGGCCCTATGGGTTCCACCTCCCCAAGGACGACGTGAAAGGAATTCAGGCCCTGTACGGTACAGACGCTACTCTGACCATAGCACGGGGAGGGACAGGTTTCAGTCTGCAACTTAGAGAAAATGTTCTTTACCAGAAATCCCTGTGGAGGTAATGGTTAGGCCAGAGATACACAGTCCCCACCAGGTCCCCTTGGGAAGATCATATTTGCAATATATAAATATTGCTTCCCATGACAGGATGTATATTCATATCTTTTCTCCAGGGCATATTGATCCCTGGGAACCATTTGTTATTTCTTTGAGTAGATAGAAGTCATTATTTAGCCATTGAAAGAGGACAGATACAGTTTATAGTCCAGACACATGATGCTTACACATTTGCAGGTAAGTTACCCTCTCTTCTTAGAAACAATGATGATGATGATAAAAAAAATTCCATCACCCAGACCTTTACACAGCATGCACTTTACAATGCCATTCACATGAGTCTTTACAGAACATTATTGATGTTTGAAGTGTTTTCTTCTTTCAATGACTAAAAATGTCAAGGCTCAATTACATATTGAAAGATATCCCAGATTATCTCAAGCACTAGCATTCACTCAAATATAATCAAAGATGTTTAGGAAATCTGTTTTTAACCTTTTTAACAGAAAAACAGAACTATTGACCAGAAGAAATCTTAGAACATCCTTAGAACTTGGAGCTTTTTCTTTAATGGAAAAAAAGGAAAACTGATGTCCCTCTTAAATTTCAAAGCCTACTTATTCAGTCAATCCTTGCCAGAGTTTCTCTCCATACTCTCGGCCTAGAGAAGGACCCAGGGAGTCTGGGTGGTCCTACCACCCCTGCCTCCATGTATCAGCCTCTCCATCAGTTGCTCAGAAATGGGCGCACAATTCTGCAGTAAGATTTCCTGTTACGTGGGAAAGGAATGGCATCCATGCAGCTCTTTCACTTCAGAGAACAGGAAGGCACTGTCCTCGTCCTATGTGAGGGATAAGGAAAATGTTGGGAATGGGTCTGGTTTATAACACTTTCTTCATGGGGTCCAGAGACCCAGATCCCATGAGAAAAGCTATCCCCATGGGCCAAGAAGGATCAAGCCCCAAGTCCAGCAACACCATCCCAGACCAGGCCTCGTGCCCAGGAGCCTTGTCATACTGACACCCCAGGTCTCTCAGGAGCATTCATTCTCTTGTGGTCATTCTCGAGCAGATGAATGCAATAGAAAAACATGTCCTGTTGCCAGGGGCCATACAGACCCCCCACACACACACACCGGCTGGCCTGATTCCCCGCCCGCCCCAGAGTGCTCAGCACCTACTATAAATTCATCTGGGATGTGGCCATTTTCCCATTTCTGATTTCTCCCCCCCCCCCCATTTTCCCATTTCTGATTTCTCCCCCCCACCCAGCCTCACCCACTGCTGGCCTTACTCCTCATCATCACTCACTCCCAGCAGCCCTTCTCTGACCTTCACCTCTGGGTGTAAGACTTGATCAAGAGTAGGGGCCTGTCGGGGCAGACTGCTTGCTCTCTGTGGCTAGAGGATGGTCCCCAGAGCAGAGGAAGATGAGACACTCCAACCTATCCTGGGGAGAGGCCCTGAGCACTAGTGAATCCCCTGCCAGGAAATGCCTTAGAATGGCAACTGTCACAGCACATGGTCAAGACCATACTGTCTCAGGAGCTTTCCTGGGCCCCCAGGAGAGGCACAGCTCAGAAGCAACACCTACAAGTGGACAAAGCAACACCTTTACAAGTGGAAACACTTTTCTTACCTATTAAAATTAGGTTATAATTGACATAGAAACATCCTATTAGTTTAGATATACAACATAATGAGCTAGAGCGATATCACAGCAGGTAGGGCATTTGCCTTACATGTGGCCAACCTAGGTTCGATTCCTCCGCCCCTCTCGGAGAGCCCGGAAAGCTACCAAGAGTACCTGACCCGCAAGGCAAAGCCTGGCAAGCTCCCCGTGACATATCTGATATGCCCAAAATAGTAACAACAAGTCTCACAATTTGTTGTGAGTCGTTACTGGTGCCCGCTCGAGCAAATCGATGAACAACAGGACAGTGCTATAGTGCTACAGTACAACATAATGATGTCTTACTTCATACTATTTATACATTGGAAACTGATCATCATCATTCTAGTTACCATTGTGTGATCAGACAGAGGCAAAAAATGGTTGGGGAATTTGGGAGGGGGGTTTCTTGTGAGGGAGATTAGTTTGGAGGGCCACACCAGCTTACTCTGACTGACTCCTGGTTCTGTATTCAGGGAACCGAGGGCAGTGCTGAGGACAAGGCAGGGTCCAGACAGTGTTGAGGACAGACCCAGGAGCCAAGCAGCTTAACCTTTGTTCTCTTTCTCCACCCAGGGCTAAAATTTACTCTGAGAAACATTGAAATATTGAATGTGGTAGGATTATCTATGTTCATATTGCATCCCTGTGGCTTCTAAATGCATTTATAGTACCTGCAGCTGGCAAATTGAATGTAATTGTAATTTAAATGCTTTTCAGAAATGATGTAATTTAATAAAAAAAAAAAACTTCTAAGAAGGGTGTTAATATTGCTCCTCCCCACTCTAGGAAAACTGAGGCTTGAAGAGGTCAAATCATTTGCTCTAATCACACAAACCAGTGGATGAGCAAAAAGATTAAAATCAAGGTCTGGGGCTGGAGCAATAGTACAGAAGGTAGGGCATTTGCCTTGCACGCGGCCAACCCAGGTTTAATTCCTAGCATCCCATTTGGTCCCCTGAGCACCACCAGGAGTAGCCAGGAGTAGCCCCTATGCATTGCTGGGTATGACCCCAAAAGCAAAAAAAACAAAAAAATACAAAAGACACACACACACACAAAAAAAAACAGGTCTGCCTTCCTGCCACAGTCAGAGATGTGCAGGTGTGGCTCTGGACTTCAGGCTCTATCCTGACCATTTCTCTTTCTAGGACCTCGGAAACCATTCCTGGGAAAACCCACCTCACCGCACACACCCCCTCACCACCCTGACCTGTGTGATTCCACCTCATCTTTCGATGCGGTGACAATGCTGGGAAAGGAGCTGCTATTCTTCAGGGACCGGTAAGTCCAGAACGGGCCACCAGCTCTGATTTAGGAGGCCCAAAAGTTCCAGGTCCCTGCTGCTGCCTGATGGGGACCATGAGTAAACATTGTCCTGGGCTGGAGAGAAGGGGGGAGGAGCTGGGAAGAGATGTGGAGCTTCCAGAGCCCAGGGTCAGGAGTGCCTACTGTGTTCCGGTAGTGAGCCGTTTCCCTCTCATTCACTGTGTTTCTTCCAACACTTTCCACTGGGAAGTAGAGAAGAGAATCCCCAGTTTACAGTGATGAAAGAAGCCGAAAGGGAACAAGTAACTTTCAGGAGGTAAAAGGGGTTCATTGAGAGGCCGAGTTATGACTCCAGCCCAGATTTCTCTGCTGGCTGTTCAGTTTACTGCTGTGTTCCATTCGCCTAGTGAAAGGATGTAGCATATGCTCAACAAATGTTCAGTGATGAGGTGTAATAGACAGCCTGTTGGGCAGAGGGGTGGTTGGTCATTTGGCCTGGTTGATGGTCATATGGATAATTAGATCGATGAGAGAATTATTCCTGAGTCACCTCTCTGCCCAAACCACTCTTTCTCAAGGATCATAACTCCCTACCTGTCAGCTGTCAACAGCACAGAGAACGATGGAAGAGGGATGAATAATTCTAGTTAAATACAACTAGAGCTCCTTAAGTTACCTCAACGTTTGACTTTTTTTAATATTAGGGTTTTTGCTTTGGGGCTTCTTTCAAAAAGTTTAATGATTCGTTGAGTGATTGAGTGAAGACTCATTTGATGGGGCACACACCTGGCAATAGTTGGGGCTTACTGCTAGGCCTGCACTCAGGGGTCACTCCTAGAGGGGTTCAGGGGACCACGGGTGGAGGGGCTGAAACCAGGTTGGCCATGTGCAAGGCAAGCACCATCCCTGCTGTCACTTTTTTCAGGAACACATGCTAGAGATGGGAGAGCCAGGACTCACTGTCACACCACTGATGATGTCTGTTGCTCACTCCCTGGACACCTGCCCTGCTGTGTCCCAGAGCTACAATCTCACAATTCTCTCTCTCTCTCTCTCTCTCTCTCTCTCTCTCTCTCTCTCCCCTTACTGGCTGTCACCAAAGGCCCAATGTGCCTGGGGAGCCTGAACCAAAAACAAAGGAGTTCTTTTAAGACTCAGTCTCATGGCAACCTGGGGGTTTTTATGAAAGAGCTCCCTGTCTGTCCCCCGCCACCCACCAGCCTGGAATTCCCCATCACTAACAATGACCTATTGATGAGACGTTTCACGCTGTAGATGTCATAACCACACGATTTGTTTCCAAAGCAAAATGGAATGCAGTACTCTTATAAGTCACCTTGACATGGTCACCTATTCTTCTTAGTGTATGAAGTTTATTGGTGCAGCCTGATGTTCTCTTTGAAGAGAAATGAACTTAAGTTAAAAGTCAAAACTTTCATAAATATTCAAATCACATATAACAGATTCCAAATATGGGTTGAAGCAATAACACAGCAGGTAGGGCACTTGCCTTGCATGCAGCCGACCTGGGTTCAATGCCCAGCACCCCATCTGGCCCCCAAGCCCCACCAAAAGTGATCCCTAAGGGCAGAGCCAAAGTAATCCATGACCACTGCCAGTTGTGACCAAAGAACAAACCAAAAAATAAAATCCAAACTATTAAGATGACTTGAGATTTCCTTAGGTACTCAAGGGAGAGAAAGAAATAGCTGAAATTGCATTCATTCCAAAATTCTATTTGCATATCTCTGGGTTTTACACACTATAAATTTAAGGATAAATTAAAAAATATAACAATCAGTTATAGAACTTAGAAAAATAATAGCATTTTACAAAGGGAGTAAGCATAGAGATCAGTCATGTCCAAGTCCTTCATTTTGAAAATAAGTAATCTAGGACCCGAATTGTGACCCAGTGGTAAAAGTCCTGGCCTGCATGTTTGAGACCCCGGGTCTATCACTAGCAACAACAAAAATGGAAATCTGGGGATTGAAGTTTAGATCCCTCAGTCTGTGTATCTTTGTCCAGATTTCCCATCAACAGACTCTTGTCCAGACACTGTAGAAAACCTATGCAATGGGAAAATTTCTTTAATTTAAGAAACAATAGGAGGTGGAGCCATATCACCATGGGCAGAGTACCTGCCTTGCATGCAGCCCATCCAGATTCAATCCCAAGCACCACATACTATGCCCCAAGCCCCACCAGTAGTGATCCCTGAGCAAAGAGCCAGAAGTAAGTCCTGAGCATCCCAGGTGTGACCCCCTCCCCAAATGAATACAACAAAATAGGGTCAGAGAGATAGTCTGTCTTTTTTTAACTGTCTACAAATAACACTTCAGAAGAAGAAAAAAAAATATTCCAGAGTATATAAAATGACTTTGTATGTGTTCTCTCAATTGAAAGTCCTTTGAAGTCTTGCAAGATGTTACTGTTCTCATTCTGAGTTGAAAGAAGGAAACTGAGCCTCAGAAAAATTAAATGACTCACACAAGGTCACCTATTCAGTGATAAAACAGGCTTCAAGCTTGCCAAGTCTCTTCTCCCATTCCACATTGCTCCATCTCAGGGAAGATTAGTGACAATGGAGAGCATCAAAGAGAAAGAGGCCTTTCCACCTGACCTTAGCGATGGGGTCACTGTTAACCTCAGCAAGGCCTCTTGCGGCTCTCTTTTTAGAGTCCAGGAGAGTAAGGGCTGGGAGGTGATGGACAATGAAAGGGCTCATTCAACTCACACTAAAGTGCCTTGAGAGTCTCAGTAGCAGACGGGAAAGCAGTTACTGAGAATAAAAGACCAGGTCAGCTTTGGCAGGAGGGCACTGAAGACAGCTGGGGAAGACAGAAGAAAAACCAAAGGTTCTACAAAAAGAGACCAAGTCCCTAGGCACCCCTGGGTTTAGTGACCAAGTCACTAAACCTGGAGTTCAAACTCCAATGGTCTAACCCACACCAAGAGGCTGGCAGAGAGCCGCAAGAGGCCTTGCTGAGGTTAACAGTGACCCCATCGCAAACTCCGTAATCATTTCCTGTTCTTCAATAAAAGGGAGTGGAAACTTCAGAGATTATGAAAATCAATGATCAAGTAAGTTCTGCTCAATCAATCCTCTGTCACTCACATGGTGGGAGGAGGGACATAAATATATTTGGCAGGGAGAAGGGGTCCTGCCTGACTCTGAGACTCTGAGAGACAAGGGAGTTCAGGCACACAAAGATAAACCCTATAGGTAAATTACCTAACTGCAGGGCTGTAGTCTCAGGATATTCCTTTATTTTCCTCTCCTTATCAAAGATCCCAGACACAGTAACAACAAAGTCTCCAATGGAGACGTTACTGGGCCGCTCGAGCAAATCGACGATCAACGGGAGGGCCTTTACCTTTACCTTTTATCAAAGATCCTGTTACAAAGCACTGATACAAGATCTACTTTTATTGTCTGGTTTATCTACTTGCATTGTCTGGTCCAAATACATTGTAAACTTATTCTTTTCTAACAGGCTCATTGATTTTTTTTTAAATAGGGGCCACCTATTTTAAATGGTGGCACTGGGGACAATGGTCCCAAGGTCAACTCTGTGATGTACTGGGGTGAGGTGTGCGGTTCCAGTGACAGAATCCAAGGCCTCACACATGCTGGGCATGTACCATGCTGAGCTGGAGAGAGCTTAAGTATCCTTAGCCTCTAGACTCTTCACTCATTTTAAATCCATTTATAGATTTACTAGGAGGTCTCCTGCTATACCTTACATGTCAATTGTAATCCTTTTGGTACCATAAAATCTAAAGTCTACATTTAAAAATCCTTTGGAAATATATATATATTTATATATATATATATATATATATAAAGGCCCTCCCGTTGATCATCGATTTGCTCGAGCGGGCCCAGTAACGTCTCCATTGGAGACTTTGTTGTTACTGTGTCTGGCATATCGAATACGTCACAGGGAGCTTGCCAGGCTCTGCCTTGCGGGCGAGATACTCTCGGTAGCTTACCGGGCTCTCCGAGAGGGGTGGAGGAATCGAACTCAGGTCAGCCATGTTGGCTGCGTGCAAGGCAAACGCCCTACCGCTGTGCTATCGCTCCATACATATATCCTATTGCTTCATTATACGAGATAACTTTTCTTCTCTGGAGTAGTATGAATGTTCCAATGATTACTTTAGAAATAGCAATCCTCCATTTAAGTGATGGGTAATGTTTATTTGCAATATATAATAAGATATATCATATATAATTATATAGAATATTATATAGAATATATATTATATTATCACTGTATCACTCTATCACTGTCATCCCATTGTTCATCCATTTGCTCAAGTGGGTGCCAGTAATGTCTCCATTCATCCCAGCCCCAAGATTTTAGCAACCTCTCCTTACTCGTCCTTCCCAATGGTGTCATATTGGAGGTGCTTTCAGGGTTAGGGGAATGAGACCCGTTATAATATATATTATATATTATATAATATGTGTATATTATATAATATAACATATTATATATAATATTTAATATATCCCATAGAAGCCACCACAGCATTTAACTAAGTTCCTGAATTTTGGCACTGCTGATATTCTGAGCAAGATTAGTCCTTATTGCATTGGCATTTCCTGTGCACTATGGGATGTTAAACAATGTTTTTTCAGACTTCAGTAATCCTGCCCACCCTCAATTGCAACAGTCAGAATCTCACCAGTATTGCCAAAATTCCCTAAGACCTAACTTCTTAAACAGTGACTCACAACCCACGGGGGCCACATAGCTGCAAGTGGGGAGGTCACAAAAAAAATTGGCAACAGTAAAAGTTTCTGAAAGTGAAATGACCAGTAATTAATTCAAACCAATCATGTAATGAATCTGAGGTGTTTCTAGCAGTGCCAGCCCATGATGCATTTCTCTTGGATGGGAAGGAGTCACCAATGGGAAAAGGTTTAAGAATCCACAGGGCACAAATGCATGATGGGTTTAGAACAACCACTCTAGTCCTCACAGTATCCACAGCATCCTAAATTCACATTTATTCCTAAGGAATTTAAGAGTCTATGTATATAAGAAGTTGTAAAAGTGCATTTTTAATTTTTTGGTTTAGGGGTTGTTTCTTTGGGGGTTGGGGGTGGCAGTCACACTAGGCACTGCTCAGTGGCTAATCCGAGCTCTGGAGTCCACTCCAGCTGATGCTCGAGAGACCCTGTGATGCTGGGAATCAAACCCAGACCCCTTAAAGGTGGTCTGTGCTCAGTTTGGCTGGCTCTAATCACCACACTTTATCACTTCTCATACTAAATCAGAAAGAACATCAATGTCCTGTAAGTTAAAAATAAAAGGTAGGGTTTAATTTTTACCTAGAGTCACTTGTTGATGTTTAACACGAAAGAAAATTGACCCAACTTTGAGTGTTCAGATGGCTGCTGGAATACCAACTGAGATTCATCAGAGACATGACTCAGGTGGGCCACATTTGCATCAATTTTTCCGTCAGTACATGTGTAAGGCCGTGATTTTATGAAAATAAGATTGGATAAATGAGATACTAAGCCTCAAGTTAACTATGCATGCCCTATTTCTGTTAATTAGTCATCAGGTTCAAGGACAAAAATACTTTCAAGTGATGAATATCTAGGACAGTGGTTACCAATCTTTCTGTACCTCAGACCAGCATTAGTGTGCAGACTAGTGATTGAAAAGGAATGGCCACATGAGAATTATAATTGTTAACATTTTAGCTATTCTTACAGGAACAATTAACATCTCCCAGCCACAGTTAATTTTTACAATATTCATAATGTTTAGCCAGATTATACTTATCTATGAGATCTTAATTTTTTTAAAGATCAGAGTGGGGGGTGGAGAGATAGTAGAGCAGTTAGGGAAGTTTGCTTGTGGCTGGCTTGGTTTCTCTCCAGCACCACATATGGTTCCCTGAACCCTGCGAGGAGTGATCCCTGAGCACAGAGCCAGGAGTAAGCCCTGAGCACTGCCAAGTGTGGCAAAAACAAAAAACAAACAAAAAAAAAAAACAGAATGTAAGGAAGGTCTGTATGAAGTGACACTTAGGGAGGTTCAAATGAAAAGTGTAAGTCACTGACAATTTCATGCTTTATCCCCTCATGTTTTGAATGACCTTCATTAAATAAATGGGATTGCATAGATGTTATGAGGACAAAGAGGGAGGGGGGAGAAGCTATTTCTTTAAACCAAAACCAAAAACTAAAAACCTATGTTCTTTTTAAAAACAAGCCAAGCGCAAGGTGCATTCAAAAATGGCCCCCCAGAGAGGAGCTTCCAGCCCGTTCCAATCCATGTTGAGTTTAAGCTCCAAATCAACCCCTGACTGATTTCTCTTGGACTTGCCCGATAGGATTTTCTGGCGTCGGCAGGTTCACTTGCCCTCAGGGATCCGGCCCAGCACCATCACGAGCTCCTTTCCCCAGCTTATGTCCAATGTGGATGCAGCTTACGAAGTGGCTGAACGGGGCACCGCCTACTTCTTCAAAGGTACTTGGCTGACCCCTCCTGGGATAGGCAGTGGGCGCATGCCTATGCCGGTGTGATGAGGACTCGTGGCACAGACCATATCTGCTCAGTGACCTGGGTCTCTGTGTATGTTCCTCTCCTTCTGCCGTGTAGGAATGCCACCTACCATGTTAAGACAAGTCTGTTGCTAAGTGCAGAGCCCAGGGGCTTGGAAACCTGGCACAGACTGCCAGGGCTTATGCTCAGAGTCCTACAGCATCTCTTCTGAAAGGCTCAAATGCATTTCATCAAACCTGGAGTCCAGCTGCTGCTGTGCAGTGCTCCTGAGGGACTCCTGTGGCTGCAGGGGGACTCTCAGTCTCTGCTCCAACCCGTTGCTGCTTGACCTACTTTAGAAAGTTATCTAAGTGCTCTGGGCCTTCATTTGTTCCTATGCAAAATGATTCTAGTACTACCAATCAATCCTGAAATGTGAGAATGGTGAGCTGGCAGGACATAGCCAGTATTAATTGCCAGTTTTAGCTTATATAGACTGATAAACTTCAGCTTATTAAAGGTTGGTCTAGGGTCTGAAGAGAGAGCACAGTGCTTAAGTTGCTCGCCTTACACACAGTCAACCTGGGTTCGATCCCCAGCACCCTCATGTGGTCCTGTAAGCCCTACCAAGGATCACTGAGCACAGAGCAGGAGTAAGAGCACAGAGCAGTGCCAGGTGTGGCCCTCGCCTTCCCCAAAAGGCTTGGACTAATTTAAGTCAGAATCATAGAACTTTCATGATACTTGAACCTTTTGTCATAGATTAGAGACTAAACTGAGGTTTATAAGTAAAAGGAATCATGAAAAATAATACTGTGTTAAATTTAAGAACAGAAATATCAATAGTATTACTTTCTTAAAGCATGATGAAGACTTTGTTATGTTTTGTTTTGCCTCCAGGACAAGTTTTAAGTCTTTTACTGAACTGATTCGGAGTTTATACTTCCTGTTGGCTATCACCATGACAGATATCACCATGACAGATATCACACAGCCTTAACCTGCCTAGGGCCCTCCATAGCATACTCTGAGTGAAGTGCATCACCATAAGGTACAGAGTTTTCACAAACTCTGGTTTCTATTTTCAGGCCCCCATTATTGGATAACAAGAGGATTCCAAATGCAGGGTCCTCCTCGGACCATCTATGATTTCGGGTTCCCAAGATATGTGCAACGGATCGACGCCGCTGTCTATGTCCCAGACACACAGAAGACCCTCTTCTTCGTGGGAGATGAATATTACAGGTACAGCCTCCTCTACTCTTGGTGGCACACGTGTATGCCAAGGGAAGCACAAAAAAAAGAACGGCAGGCAAATTCAACAGGTACCCTGACCCTTCCTGGGAGTATCAGGCCCTGATCACTGAAGCCATCTTCAGCATCTAGAACCTTCCAAACGAGAGGTGAAGTGTTCATTCCAGAATTGCATTGCTTAGTCCCCAGGCGAAAGAACACCCTTATCTTCCAGTGCACACTCAGTAACTGGATTGCCCTGTGGCCGGGTGCAGCCCCCCCAACACAGCACAGAACTATCCATTGGCAATAGTTGTGTGAGGGAACCCCCAGGGCCAGTGAATACCGACACTTCCAGAATCCTGGTGATTTTGTGTAGAAGAAGGGCAGGGACACACTCGGTGAAGGGAAGCTCTGCTAGCTGGAAAGGGCCTTGTTATTAAGTCCTGTGCCTCGATGTAGAACATGAAGGTGTTCCACCCCATGTGGACTATATGTCACATCATTCCTCTCTTGCAGAGTTTTATCCACTACACCTGGCTCAACCCTCTCATGCATACATTCCTATATTTAATTGACTGTATGAAGGAATAACTATGCCTTGAGGCCAATTTCTGCCAGGTCGTCTCTCCCTACATTCCCATTCTCACAATGATATTATTTGTTCTTCTAAGCTCCAACAGAGAGAAGCGAACGATGGGTGTGCATTGGAATTATGTCATGAGAAACCACTATTAGTAGCATTGTAGACCACAGAATCTCAATGGTTAAAGCTTTTTTTTTTTATTTATTTATTTTATTAGTGAAACACCATGAGGTACAGTTATAGACTTGCAAATTTTTGTGCTAGGGTTTCAGTTATACAATGATCAAGTACCCATCCCTCCACCAGCGCCCATCCTCCACCACCGCGGGTCCCAGCATCCCTCCCACCCCCCATCCCCCCCAGTCCACCCTGTCTCTGTGGCAGGGCATTCCCCCTTGTTCTCTCTCTCTTCTTTTGGGTCCTGTGGTTTGCAAGAGAGGCATTGAGTGGCAATCATGTTTGGTCTATTGTCTTCTTTCAGCATGCTTCTCCCACCCTGGGAGGATCCTCCCAACACCCTTTATTTGGTGCTCTCTTCTCTATCTGAGCTTCCTGGTTAAAGCTTTTTAAAAGAGAAAAAAGTGGGGCTGGAGCCATAGTATAGCAGGGAGGGCACTGGCCCTGCACAGAGCCAACCTGAGTTTGATCCCCAGCATTCCATATGTTCCCCCTGAGCACCACCAAGAGTGATGCGGTCTCTCCACTCCTTGTCAAGCGTGCATTCACAGGTCAACGCTCACTGGGGAGGAATGTTGCCCCCTTATTTCTCATCTCTGTTTACCACCCGGTTGTTATCCCACTCCAGAAATCCCAGCCAGGCAGGGCTGAGGCTTGTAAAGACACAAAGAATTAAGAGCAACCCAAGTGCCCTGCTAGAAGTCACACGAGTGGGTGAAAACAAAGAAAAGCACTGAGCTGGCAAAGGTGTGGGCTGCAGTGAGGGGCAGTCGGGCTGGCTGTCACCCTGAGAGGGTGGAGGGGACTGCCAGGATGCAGCCCTGGCGCTGGTGCATGGAATAGCTATGCTGTGGGCAGGTGCAGGAAGCTCTTGCTGTGACTCAGCCTGAACTGGATCACGTAGGCCGAAGGGCAGAGACAACCTGGGCCTTTCTAGAAAGATCAGGATTAACTCCATGAAAAGGTGAGTGTCAGTAAATACTTTAAGTAACATAGCAACCCCAACTGTCTGTGTTGTAGTCCTCTCTCTCTCTCTGAGAGCAATGTGACAATTAGAGATCAGACTGGAAATGAGCGGAACCAGTTAAGTCAGAAGGATTGGGGAGAGTCGAAGTGAGAGCACAGCAGGGAGGGTGCTTGCCTTGCATGTGGTTGATCCTGGTCAATCCCCAGCATCCCAGATCTCCCCCCCCCCCCCCCCCGTCCCCCCGAGCTCTGCCAGGGGTGATCTCTGAGTGCAAAGTCAGGACTAAATCCTGAGCATGGTAAGGTGTAACTGCAAAACAAAAACAAACAAATAGAGGTTTAGGGAAACACATTCAAAATGTTGTGTGCCTATCGGGCAGGCCGGAAAGCTTTTGCTCTGTGAACAGACTCGGGGCTGGAGCGATAGCACAGCGGGTAGGGTGTTCGCCTTACAAGCGGCCAACATGGCCGACCTGAGTTCGATTCCTCCGCCCCTCTCGGAGAGCCCGGCAAGCTACCGAGAGTATTCGATATGCCAGACACAGTAACAACAAAGTCTCCAATGGAGACGTTACTGGGCCCGCTCGAGCAAATCGACGATCAACGGGAGGGCCTTTACCTTCTTTTAAGAGCAGAGAACACAATATGTGCAGGTCCTGCTGGGCTTTCCCTGGCTCTGGCAGCTCAGTTCTCGGAAATGAAAGGGGATAATTTAGGGGCTGGAGGTGATGCTTCACATGCAGGATCCCCAGCATCCTCCCAGCACTACATGATCTGCTGGGCACTGTGCTCGGAGTGGCCACTGGGCCCCAGAGTGTGTGCTACTCCCTAAAAAGAATAGCTTATTTTATAAATAAAAATACAACTAAAGACATAAGGAAATAAAAACTTCAGACCAATAATTTTTGTTAAAATGAACACTCAAAGCTTCCAAAGGGGAAAGAAAATAGTTGAGTGGTCAGGACGGGGTGCTATGCACACATTCCAGGACTTTGGTTCAGACTCCGCCCCACGTGGCCTCCAGGAGCACTTCTGGGTAGAGCCACGGAAGCAACTCAGCATCCTTGGGACCTCTCAGTGCACCACCTGGCGCAATTGGTCATGTATTACATGGAGTGGCCTTGGCACCCCCTGAGAATTCCTTAAGAGACTCCAGGGGGCTGGATTGACAGCACAAAGGGTAGGGCGTTTGCCTTGCATGCATCTGACCAAGGTTCGATTCCCAGCATCCCATATGGGACCCCGCGCACTGCCAGGAGTAATTCCTGTACAGAACCAGGAGTAACCCCTGTGCAAACTCCTCCCCAAATAGTTACAAACAAATCCAGCAACATAGAAAATCATGACTAAGTGAGACTTTCCAAGGTCTGAAGGGTTGACTTCACATCCGAAAATCGACTACTGTAATAAACAATATTCATAGACGTGGAAAAATGCATGTCAAAACCAGCTCTATTGGGGCTAGAGAAATAGTACGGGGGTAAAGGGATTGAGATGCTTGTTCTGTATTGTATCAACCCCAGTTTAACTCCCAGCACCACATAAGGTTCCCCAAGCCCATCTGAGTGACTCCTGAGCACAGAGCCAAGAGTGAAGCATAAGCACTACAAAACTATATATATATATATAAGATTAAGTGACCAAAGCAAGGTCACAAGATAAAGAAACAATTCCCTCTAAGGCTGCAGAATATGTCATTTGAATCTTTGGGCAGGGGCTGTCCACAGTGCTCGGGGCTTACTATTGATTGTGCTCAGGGATTATTCCTGGCGGTGTTCAGCAAACCATATAGTGTCAGAGATCGACCCAGAATCTGTAGTTTGCAAGACAAGCTCCTTGCCCACTCTACTACCCCTTTGGCTCCTCTCCTTTGAGTCTAGAATCCGAAGTTTTCCCCCCTCTGTTACCTAGTGGTCATTCTTCATTCCTGAACTATTTGTTCATGATTCCAGTTAAAGTATTCATGAATCATTCTGTTAGAATATTTCTCATGTACCCTCATTAAAATCCGTAACTGAACTCTCTATCTTCTAAATCTGACTCCTTTATTTGTCTTGGTTCTCTGGACTTCCTCCACTACTTTCTTTTCCTCCTTTCTTCACCCTTCTCAACTTTGCCTCCTCCTATACAATGTTTATTTTCAATTGAATCACTGCGAGATACACAGTTACAAGGTTGTTCATGATTGGGTTTCAGTCACACAATGTCCCAACACCTGTCCCTTCTCTAGAGCACATTTCCCGCCACCAGTGACCCTGGTTTCCCTCCTGCCACCCTCCCCACGCCTTCTACACAATGTTATTCTGATGAAGTGTTTAAAGATTAGGAAAGATTAGATTCCTTGATGAGTTAGGATCCCAGATAAAATTACAAAGTCCATTCCGCCTCAGGCACCCTAGTCAGAGTTAATGATTCTCTGTGTTAAAACAAACTGAAAAGTCCTGTGTCTCTTGCTTGCCCTGGGTGTCTGTCCACCTGCACCAGGCTCCCTGAGTTTTCTCCTACCTCCATGAGGAGCCCTCTGGAACCAAGGCGCTTTCCCCTGATTACACAGTCAGCAGAGAATAATGAAGATCCAGCCCAGCACTTTCTGCAGATTGTGCTCATTGCTCTATTACAAAAGTCCCCAAATCTGTTCTCAAAGCAAAGACTCTCAGTCTCATGAAACTATTTCACAGTAAGAACACAAAGGGGCTGGAGTGATAACACAGCGGGTAGGGCATTGCCTTGCATGCAGCTGACCCAGGTTCGATTCTCAGCATCCCGTATGGTCCCCTGAGCACCTCCAGGAGTAATTCTTGAGTGCAGAGCCAGGAGTAACCCCTGTGCTTTGCCGGGTATGACCCAAAAAGAAAAAAAAAAGAACAACACAACAGAATAAATAAATATAAGGTCTGTGTCAATATTGGCAAAAACCACTTCTTGTCCTGAGGTTATATCCTGTCTGCTTATGTTAATGCCAAAGCCTTTGATTTGTTTGTTTTTGTTTTCTCTCTGATACCTGGTAATGCTTAGGGGAGATTTCTGGCTCAGGGCTTTGGTGTCAGTCCTTGTAGTGCTCAAGTTCCCTGGAGTATTGATGATTGAACCCAGGCCTCCTGTGTGCCTCCATGCAAAGCTTGTGCTTGTTCATGGAGCTCTCCCTCGCCCTCAAGTTTCTTTTCTTCGTTAAATGATAATTTACAAATAGGTTGAAAATAGGTGATAGTCTTTTTAAAATAGAATTTGATATTCATGGTCTTAGTTGGTAAAATGAAAATATATATATAGCCTTTGTTAGTTATGTAGGCTCTGTCTTTTATATATAAAAGGTCCAAATGAATTATTAATGATGCTATCAGACATCCCAAAATGGTGATTTCTGTGTCACACAAATACTTTGTTTTATTAATTTTACTTCTGGAGGGAGAGGCCTCCTAAGCAGTGTTCACAGGGCCTGGGGGCTACTACAGTATTTAGAACAGTCCCTCGAAATCATTTATTAAGATTAATGCTCTTCGGAAAGCAAAAGACAGGGGTGTCTAAGGCAAGTAGGAGAACATACAGGTTTGACAGAAAGAGAGAAGGATTCTTCAACATATAAATTCTGGAAGAGATAAAGGGAAAAAAAAATTCCTTAGGGACCGGAATGTAGCTCGAGTGATGGGGCATATGCCTCACATACACAAGTTAAGCTCTGCCTTTGCCCTGAGCTATGCAACTAGGAGTGCCATGGGGTAAGGTTCCGATAACAAGAGATATTTTAGTTGTGACTTCTAAACCAGTGAGCAGCCCCTGAACCTCAAAGATCTAAGAAAGAGATGGGGCTGGAGCAATAGGACAGTGGGTAGGGTGTTTGCCTTGCACATGGCCAACCCAGGTTCGATCCCCGGCATCCCATATGGTCTCCTAAGCACCGCCAGGAGTAATTCCTGAGTGCAAAAAAAGCCAGGAGAACCCCCTGAGCATCGTTTGGTGTGACCCAAAAAGCAAAAAAAAAAAAAAAAAAAAAAAAAAAAAGAAAGAAAGAAAAGAAAGATCTAAGAGAGAAGGAATAGAGTGTGTGTGTGGGGGGGGGGAATTCCTATCATCATCATCACTGTGTCATCTACAATTAAAAAGAAACCTTCTGTTAATACTTCTTCCAGCTATGATGAACGCAAAGGGAAAATGGAAAAAGATTATCCCAAGAACACTGAAGAGGAATTTTCAGGAGTAAATGGTCAAATAGATGCTGCTGTGGAATTAAATGGTGAGTATTTTCACACACAAAAAAAAAAAAAAAGAAAAGAAAATGTTAACATGGGAACTGTAATAAGAAGTCTGGACTCTACTTCCATAAAACAGAAAAATGGGCTTTCAAATAAGAGTCCCTGATGGTCCTGTTCGGCTCTGGAATTCCTAATAGTTGAGCTAGATTATCCTCTAGAAAAAAGATAGTTATTCTCCTTTTGCAAATTGAATGTCTTTAATTGTATGGCTTCAGTCTATTTACATAAAAAAAAAAACTACCCAGATCAAAATGACCAAGTTTACCTCAAAAACACACTCGAATACACATTCTCTCAGCATTTCCGGTGCCTGTCCTTACTTCATTACCCAATTCCTGGAGATATGGGGAAATTGAATTGAATAAAATTAGACTGAGTAAGTTGGATTGAATTTCCTGAATGACGTAGTAAGCCAACACAGTCTTCTCTGAGGGTATAACAGGGCGCTGCTCAGAAATGCAAATAGTTCCTGCATTCCTACATGGTCTCTGTTCTTGTGGACTGGTTAATAACTGCCAGGTAGACCCCTCCATCCCACACAGATGAAATCACTACAGTAAGAGAACCTATGATTGAGTGTTGAATTGGGTACCAGGTAGTCTTCGTGATAGAAGAGGTGGTCTGTGGGTTGAAGAGGGGAGGGGAAGAGGTATTTATACATGCGATCAGTCTGGGCAGAAGCACCAGGCTGGGGCGTGTGCTGTCAGTGACCCCAAGGAGCATCTGGAATAGAGGAAGCGGAGAGAGATGGTGGGCAGTAGTAGGCTGCAGCAGGAGCTGTACGTGGACCAGCTCACGACCTCCTGGCAAAGTCTCAGTGTTCCTTGGCGCCACATCTAGAAAGCAAATGATCTCATTTAGAAACTTGCAAGTCATGTTAACAACCACAATTTCATCGTTTTTCTCGTTTAGGCTACATTTACTTCTTCTCTGGACCCAAAGCATACAAGTATGATGTGGAGAAGGAGGATGTGGTCAGCGTGGTGAAATCTAGCTCCTGGATTGGCTGCTAAACAGGAAGCTGCCAAGTCTCCCATCAGGACTGAAGATGCCTGCACACAGCTGATAACAGCTATGAAGGATGAGAGCAGCAAGTAGGGGAGGGCGCTGCCCAGCCTTCTGTTTCTAAGGCAATTCCGAGTCCCCTGAAAACTAGTTATGCTTCTACATTTTTACATAGCTGTGGATTCCGAATTGAAATTGTAATCCAAATGGGGAATTCATATTTCACCAACTTTACTCAAAAATCAGAATCAATACAACATGCTCTTTTGTTAGATACCCCTTTATTTTTTTTCCTACCTAATAGACTGAACCAAAACGAGGCTAGGTTTTTTATTTCCAGGAAGAAACTTACTTATGACTTGTAACATACGTTAGAATTCTTTTTATAGGCAATGTCATTACCATGTAAGTTATGATTATTCATTGTAAGTGGTGGCTTTTGCGTTCTCAATATTTGCTGTGGTTAATATATTTGGCTTTCTTAAGTTTAAACATGTCACAAGCAAAGTGCTGTGTAACGTTTGTTTCTAGTGGTTTGTTTAACTCTGCATGCTTTTGCCATCCTTGAAATAGGTTATGGTGTGCAAAATATTCAAATGACTCTTCATTCTAGGCAAGAGATGGGCATTTTGCAATAGAAGAGCTTAACAAACACCAATAAAAAATGTTGTGTTTGAACATTCCTTATTTCTCTTTCAGTTAATATTTGCTAGCTTATTTTACACTTTGCTTAGCAACAAATTTTGCGTACCTCAGAAATGACAACAGTAACTCACTCTGTTTCCTGCTTCTTGGCAATAAAATGCCACAGGATATTTTATGCTCATCTAAATGAGTCTTTCCGAATAGTTTTCCATTGAGGGAAGTTCCTCTTTCTTCTGAGTTTTTCCTTAAGGCTAGCTTGTTTTTCTCGACATAGTCATCAATGTAGACAAAATACAGCTGTCTGCCTTGATTTTTTTAAAATATAATTTGGTGTTTCTAAAATTAGACGTTAAATACACTCAGAATACTACTTAGACTGCCTACATGTCCAGTGTTCAACTGATGGTAGCTGCCATTATTCGATAAATCTTATTACATTTGTTTCACACAATCACTGAATAAGCTGAGCATCAGGAAGAGGTGAAGTTATTGTTCAAGAACATCTGGGTGTTCAATTTGGTTTCCTTTACTGACTGTGGCTATCTACAGCCAACCAGATATTAAATCTTGGAGTGTTAAGACAAATCAAGTCACCCTGCTCCCCAACATCAGCTTCCTAGAGCAGGAAAGTCACCTTTGCCAAAAGAGTCAATTGCAGAGAACTTAGCATTTAGCAAGGCAGGGAAACAGGATAGTGTGTCTGCAGTAGGGCTACACATTAGATCCAGGCATTCTAGCCCTAGGATCCACGGAAAGTCGCGCCCACAGATGTTTAGAAAGAGTAGCATAATTCATAATGACCTAAAGTAGAAAATGCCCATCAAATGGTGAATGAATGTTTTAACATTTTTAAAGTACATATTATACATTAAATGTGGTAAACTTATAAGACAGGATTTTATTTGGTCTTGGGGAAAATTAATGCTGCAGCACAAACAAACTTGGAAAAAACTTTACACTAAGTGAAGGCAGTCACGGAAAGACGCCACATTTTGCGTGATCTATTTCTACAGGGTTTTCAGGATAGGGAACTCCATAGAGACAGATGCCTTGCGCTTGTCAGGAGCTGCAGGAAGAAGGATGGGAAGTGACAGCTAATGAATGTGGCTCTCTTTTGGGGGGTGATGATAGTTTTCTAGAAGAGGCGATGCTGACAGGTGTGTGACTGTGAATATTTTAAAAAGCCACTAAAGTGTATCAATGGGAAATGAATCAATTGTATGGTATATTAATTCTCTCTCAATAAACTTATGTTTTTTAAAAAGTAATATACAAAGAGATCCCAGTGGAATCTGATCTGTGAGAATCATGCAATTTGGTCAACTAGGGAAGGACCCAGATGCCTTGGTATACCTGAGCAATCGAGCATTCTTCTGAGTGCTGGCACAAGGTGCGCAAACTGTAGACACTTCAGCAAAGACATCAAAGTTGCTAAAGCAAAAGGATGTGAGTTCCGAGGTCTGACTGCTTCAAGTGTGCTGCTTTTAGCTGTGATGTTGGTCAGACTTCCCAATGTCTCCGTTTCCTCCTTTATACAATTAGAATAAAAAGAGTCCCAGATGTACAACAGAACCTACGCTATAACTGTTTCTGAAGCAGTCTGAATTCATTTTGTTTTGATATATTTGTCAGGATTTGTGTGTCTTCCTTCAGATGAGATGAGGAGATGAGACAAACTGTAGGACTGTGTGGCCAGAACCTAGTCAGAACATTCATGGCATATACTCATTTGAAACAGAACTTTGTGGTCAAATAGTGTTTAATATACGATGCCAACTTGGTTTCAGAATAACAATTGAGTGCCAAAAATGGTCTGTTACATAGAGGCTCTAAACAAAGTGTGGGTCGAGCTCTCCTTTCTGGGGTCTGAAGGAAACTGGTCAGTTTGCTTTCCACTGACCTCGATGACCTGTCCTGCTAACTTTGATTTATGATATGTGGCCCTTAGGAAGCGCCAGAAAATCCAAGAGAGGATAAATGGACACAGAGCGTCAGGCATCCTCCCAGCAGCCCCACATCACCTTTTCTAGGCTGAGCCAGATGTTCTTCCTTAGGTTGTGCGAAAAGGCAGACCCAACTTCATCTGCTGGGTTCTCTGTTCTTTCTTCAAATGTTTGTTTGGAAATAACTTGGGCTTAGTATTATTATTATTGGGCCTTTTATTCCCCAATAAACTACATAGTTTTTTTTAATTTTGAGCAAATCGATGAACAATGGGAGGACAGTGCTACAGTGCAGTAATTTTACATATTTAATTGTCACAGTCCTGAAGTACTTTCACAACACATACACACAAACACACACATACATACACATATACACACATATAGAGACATATATATGTATTATTCAGATATTCTCTTTGTTCCTCTTTTAATCATTTCCTTCTACATGCAATGATATTAAATTTTCTTTCTGGACATTCATCACTAAAATTACCCATGGACTGCCATTTAACAGAAAAGGCAGAATTGTGGTCAAGAGATTGGATTCTTAACTCTTAATAATGGAGAATAGTGATAAGATAAGAAAGAAGAAATCGTTGGAGCCTTTTGAATCTTTGTAACTGAATAGAGAGGCGTCTGAGAAGCAACTCCCAGCCACAGTCAGGCATGCACGAATACAGGACCTCTGAAAGGGAACTGAAGCAAAATCCAGTATGACACAGACTGCCCAGGATTGAAATTCAGCCAATCACCTCTTGCCCAACTTTTTGGCAGAGTTCCTCAGACTGGAAGCTCATTTGTGCAGATGGAACTGTGGGCAAGCCAACTCACCTTTGCGTGCCTGTAATGCTCCCCGTCTGGACAAGCCAGCTCTCCATGCACCAGCTCCTTGGCTCTGCCCTCTTGACTGCAGCCATAAGGTTCTAGTAAATATCTTTACCTTTGTTGTAATTTGACCAAGTTTCCGTTTCTCAATCTATAATGGAAAAGTTTAGGTCCAAAGATTTCCTGCATTTTTTCCTTTACAGATCCAGTCAAAGGAAGAGGTGGTATCCTCTGATCATCTCTCGTCTGTCAACACTGTCTTTGATCCCCTGGCATTCCAAATGACTTATCACGGGAACAGAATAAAGTGTATATCCTGAAAGCCTCAAAATACCTAATCTCTGCCTTGTTCCCACCACCAAGACTCCTGGAATTGAGATAGGAACATTTACAGGCACTGGGACATCTGCTGGTAAATAACTCACTAGTGAAAATTAGAGAACGACTTTGCATCCCAAAGAGAACTCTTGAACATACCTGTCCTCAACTTAATGGCTTTGTTGTCTATCTGCATCCAATATCAACATATCATTTAAATTCCTTACATACAATGTATATTTCCTAATCCTTAGGGTTAAAGTACACCCGTATTGCACAGTGCAGCATGTTATTCTGACAAGAGTGAGGAGAGAGAGCAGAAGAGAGGAGGATGGGAAAAGTCAATGATGAGAAAACTGTTGATGGGATAACATAACACGGTGCTGAGGGCAGTTGGTGGGTGTTATCCCATGAACGGCCAAAACCCAGAGACTATAAAACCCAGCTCCCAATATCTTATTATATAGTTCTTACTCTTGGAGAACCCGGCAGGCTACCGAGAGTATCCTGCCCGCATGGCAGAGTCTGGCAAACTCCCCGTGACGTATTTGATATGCCAAAACCTAGTAACAATGATGGGTCTCATTCCCCTATCCCTGAAAGAGCCTCGAATGTGGCACTTTCTAAAATCTCAGGGCTAGGACAAAGGAGATGTTACTGGTGCCTGCTCGAGGAAATCAATGAACAATAGGATGACAGTGATACAGTGATACAGTGAGAGAACTGTTACAGAAGACAAGTGGAGAAGTGTCATGTTTAGATCCACGTTAGATCATCTACAGTTGGACGGAAAGCATGTCTGTATAAATAGCCATTTGTATATCCTCAGAGAACCCTAGGCCTGTACTGCAATGACAAATAATAGAAGCTTTGAGTTGGGAGTCAATGTTCACAGCTGCCTATCTGTCATTTTCATAACATTGATGCTTTAAATGGTTGGTTTAACTGCCAGATCTTCCACCTCTTCATTCAGACAACCCAACTGCATGATCTCCCCTCTTCCTTTCTCACTCATCCTCTCTCATTTTGCTAATGGTAAGATACCAAAAATACTTTGAGAAGGGTTAATTCAGAACAAATTTAGCTTAGAACCCTGAAACATATATAATTTCACGCAATTTCACACATGGAAGTTCACTAGATTAAGAATAGACGTCAAGCTACTATAGGAAATAAAGATTGAGCTGAAAAGTAGCACTGTAGCACTGTCCTCCTATTGTTCATTGATTTGCTTGAGCAGGCACCAGTAACATCTCCATTGTGAGACATGTTGTTACTGTTTTTGGCATATCTAATATGCCATGGGGAGCTTGCCAGGCTCTGCCATACGAGTGGGATACTCTCAGTAGCTTGCCAGGCTCTCTGAGAAGGACGGAGGAATCTAACTTTGGTC